GTGATTGCTCTCGCCTTAAATCCTCTCGTTCAGTTGATCTACGGAGGTTGTCGCGTTCATCAGTACGTCGAGATTCTTCTCGGTCATCATTACGACGTGATTGCTCTCGCCTTAAATCCTCTCGTTCAGTTAATCGGCGTAGATTGTCGCGTTCATCAATACGTCGAGATTCTTCTCGATCATCATTACGACGTGATTGCTCTCGCCTTAAATCCTCTCGTTCAGTTATTCGGAGTTGATTATCGCGTTCGTCAGTATGTCGAGATTCTTCTCGGTCATCATTACGACGTGATTGCTCTCTTGTCAAATCCTCTCGTTCAGTTAATCGGCGCAGATTGTCACGTTCATCAGAACGTCGACTTTCTTCTCGATCATCATTACGAAGAGATTGCTCTCGCCTCAAATCCTCTCGTTCAGTTAATCTACGAAGGTTGTCGCGTTCGTCAGTACGTCGAGATTCTTCTCGATCATCATTACGACGTGATTGGTCTCGCCTTAAATCCTCTCGTTCAGTTATTCGGAGTTGATTATCGCGTTCATCAGTACGTCGACTTTCTTCTCGATCATCATTACGAAGAGATTGCTCTCGCCTTAAATCCTCTCGTTCAGTTAATCTACGGAGGTGGTCGCGTTCATCAGTACGTCGAGATTCTTCTCGGTCATCATTACGACGTGATTGCTCTCGCCTTAAATCCTCTCGTTCAGTTATTCGGAGTTGATTATCGCGTTTATCAGTACGTCGACTTTCTTCTCGATCATCATTACGACGTGATGGCTCTCGCCTTAAATCCTCTCGTTCAGTTAATCTACGGAGGTTGTCGCGTTCATCAGTACGTCGAGATTCTTCTCGGTCATCATTACGACGTGATTGCTCTCGCCTTAAATCCTCTCGTTCAGTTATTCGGCGTTGATTGTCGCGTTTATCAGTACGTCGAGTTTCTTCTCGGTCATCATTACGACGTGATTGCTCTCGCCTTAAATCCTCTCGTTCAGTTATTCTACGTTGTTGTCGCGTTCATCAGTACGTCGAGATTCTTCTCGGTCATCATTACGACGTGATTGCTCTCGTCTTAAATCCTCTCGTTCAGTTAATCTGCGGAGGTTGTCGCGTTCATCAGTACGTCGAGATTCTTCTCGGTCATTATTACGACGTGATTTCTCTCGCCTTAAATCCTCTCGTTCAGTTAATCTACGGAGGTTGTCGCGTTCATCAGTACGTCGAGATTCTTCTCGGTCATCATTACGAAGAGATTGCTCTCGCCTTAAATCCTCTCGTTCAGTTAATCTACGGAGGTTGTCGCGTTCATCAGTACGTCGAGATTCTTCTCGGTCATCATTACGACGTGATTTCTCGCGCCTTAAATCCTCTCGTTCAGTTAATCTACGGAGGTTGTCGCGTTCATCAGTACGTCGAGATTCTTCTCGGTCATCAATACGAAGAGATTGCTCTCGCTTTAAATCCTCTCGTTCAGTTATTCTGAGTTGATTATCGCGTTTATCAGTACGTCGAGTTTCTTCTCGATCATCATTACGACGTGATTTCTCTTGCCTTGAGTCCTCTCGTTCAGTTATTCGGAGTTGATTATCGCATTCATCAGTACGTCGAGTTTCTTCTCGATCATCATTACGACGTGATTGCTCTCGCCTTAAATCCTCTCGTTTAGTTAATCTACGGAGGTTGTCGCGTTCATCAGTACGTCGAGATTCTTCTCGGTCATCATTACGACGTGATTGCTCTCGCCTTAAATCCTCTCGTTCAGTTAATCTACGGAGGTTGTCGCGTTCATCAGTACGTCGAGATTCTTCTCGGTCATCAATACGAAGAGATTGCTCTCGCCTTGAATCCTCTCGTTCAGTTAATCTACGGAGGTTGTCGCGTTCATCAGTACGTCGAGATTCTTCTCGGTCATCAATACGAAGAGATTGCTCTCGCTTTAAATCCTCTCGTTCAGTTATTCTGAGTTGATTATCGCGTTTATCAGTACGTCGAGTTTCTTCTCGATCATCATTACCACGTGATTGCTCTCGCCTTAAATCCTCTCGTTCAGTTAATCTACGGAGGTTGTCGCGTTCATCAGTACGTCCAGATTCTTCTCGACCATCATTACGACGTGATTTCTCGCGCCTTAAATCCTCTCGTTCAGTTAATCTGCGGAGGTTGTCGCGTTCATCAGTACGTCGAGATTCTTCGCGATCATCATTACGACGTGATTGCTCTCGTCTTAAATTCTCTCGTTCAGTTAATCGGCGCAGATTGTCGCGTTCATCAGTACGTCGAGATTCTTCTCGATCATCATTACCACGTGATTGCTCTCGCCTTAAATCCTCTCGTTCAGTTAATCTACGGAGGTTGTCGCGTTCATCAGTACGTCGAGATTCTTCTCGGTCATCATTACGACGTGATTGCTCTCGCCTTAAATCCTGTCGTTCAGTTAATCTACGGAGGTTGTCGCGTTCATCAGTACGTCGAGTTTCTTCTCGATCATCATTACGACGTGATTTTTCTTGCCTTGAGTCCTCTCGTTCAGTTATTCTGAGTTGATTATCGCGTTCATCAGTACGTCGAGATTCTTCTCGATCATCATTACGATGTGATTGCTCTCGCTTTAAATCCTCTCGTTCAGTTAATCTACGGAGGTTGTCGCGTTTATCAGTACGTCGAGTTTCTTCTCGATCATCATTACGACGTGATTGCTCTCGCCTTAAATGCTCTCGTTTAGTTAATCTACGGAGGTTGTCGCGTTCATCAGTACGTCGAGATTCTCGATCATCATTACGACGTGATTTCTCTTGCCTTGAGTCCTCTCGTTCAGTTATTCGGAGTTGATTATCGCGTTCGTCAGTACGTCGAGATTTTTCTCGAACATCATTACCACGTGATTGCTCTTGTCTTAAGTCCTCTAGTTCAGTTATTTGAAGTTCATTATCGCGTTCATCAGTACGTCGAGATTCTTCTCGGTTATTATTACGACGTGATTGCTCCTGCATTTTATTTTCGTATTCAGTTAATCTGTTTCGGTTATCGCGCTCCTCAGTACGCACAGATAATTCTCGATCGGAATTTGCTTCTCTGGTAAATTGATAAGAGCCGTCAGTATATCGGGAGTCCTCTCGATTGTCATTAATGTGTGATGTTTTTTGCCTTAAATTATAAGCATACTCTACTCTTACTCTTTCGTTTAACAATCGAGAGAGATTTTTTCGTGCGTTATTATTTCGAAATATTTCGCCTCCACTTACTCTGCGTTGGATTTTCTGCTTGTTATTGATTTCTATGTTGTTTAACCGGTGGCTTGCAGACTTGGACTTTCCATACACATTTTGGTTAGGCTTTAAATTCAAATTAACCGAATATACACGTTGGTTTATTCTACGTGACATAACATTTTGATTCGTTTTACATATGGTTTCGTTTTCAGGTTCGGTGGTGAATTTTTCTTTTATTGAATCAGAAACACAACGAGACTCTAGTACGGAATTTAAACGGCCAAAACTTTTCAAATCGAAACGTTTATCAGAACAAAGTTCTTGATCACAGTTTCGTTGGTCAAGATGACCACAAGTGATACTCGACCCGATAATCAATAACAAGGCAGCTATTTTTAACTGCCAAAAGTTCAATATCATCGTATTATTTGACCACTACTTGCTTGATAAAATCGTAGGTTATCCTTTATCTGTTGTTGAATTCAACGCGTTATATGAATAACTGACTTGGGACTATTTTTCCAGCTCCTTTTATATAATTTTGAAACTTGTTTGAAACCTCAACATAGACTGTAATTGCTTCCTTTTCAATGAACTTCAATTTAGAATTGATTGATTTAATTTGCTTATCGCACATGTGCACCAATGCGCAGACCGCCAACGTAACCTACTAAATCTGTTCCTTTATTGCAAAGGACAGCAATTCCTTTTCAAGATGACTACAGAAATGCGATTGGCTGCTCTGTTGTTATGTACTTTGGTACATTGCAGAGCATGTACTGCTTTTTTTATGAATGAATCCTTGGCAATGACGTCAAAAGGATGATTAGGTATGTTTTATGGACTTCTGTTTTTATTTTTCAATTGAACATAAAACGTGTAGCGATTAACGTTTTTTATTCATGTAAAGGATAACGTTTTTATATAAAAGGAATTTATATTTTTTATTTATTGAGTTTTGTAAAACTTTGTTGAATCAATTTTATTGGAAGAAGGAGGGATGTTCATTTAAAATTTCTTCCACAAAGTAGAGTTCCAATGGAAAAAGTAATGCAATAAACACTTAATAATATAGTTAATAATATTATACATTATATTTAATATTACTATATATTTAAACTTCTTTAGCACATAATATATTGTGCTAAATATATATTTACACAAATAATGTAAATACTAATATATTCCCTGTATATATATATATTCAATAATTATGATATCTGTAGGCATTAAATCAGATATAACTATTCAGGAATCGAGAGTTGCTATTTGGATTTCATCAACTCTTCTACCTGACTTACTGCATAGTTCTATTGATTTGGATATTGCGGCACCTTGGGTAGCATTGGAAAATCTTATACGAACATACTTCTTCAACTTTTCTTATATTTTTCAACTTATTTAAATACTATAATTTAATTATATTAACTATCACAGTGATTACTTAAATATATATAACCTCAGAAGGTTGCAAAGATGATAAAAAGGTAAAAGAAGATGAAATACAATTATTTAACGATTGGTTATAAAACGTAAAACTTTAACTACTTCATCAAACTCTAACTACTTTAACTAATTCTGATTTATAAGTATATACCGTCACTGCATTTGAATATTTTCGGATAAATTCAGTCAAAATACACTTATATAGTACGTCTATAAACAGGTCATTGAAAGAAAAGTAAACTTTAAACCAAATCAACGATAGCAGCAAAAATTTTGATATTGATATGGACGGTTAAGCTTAGTTAAAATTATTGCATTTTATAGACTATAAACTCCTCTTTCAGTTTATATAGTTCGTAGTAGCTGTGACAGGGTTTATTTTTGCATTTAAGAATCGCAAAGGCGCTACTTGTGTTATGGCTCATCAGGATCATTTTATTTAATTTAGGATTATATATATTATGTTATTATATTATTAATATTATCTATAAGTAATTTTATATGTTAGGTAATTTTATCGGTTAGGGACCAGATTTTAGTACGAAATACTTCACTCTATAGGGCTTCCTTCCTAAGAATATTTTTAAAATAAATAATATTTTGTTATTATTAATAATTTTAATTATATTATATACAGTCAAGCTTCCATAACTCGAACTTCTATAACTCGAATTTTCTATAACTCGAATTTTCTATAACTCGAACCAAAAACAGTGCATCAAGGTTTTAGAGAGCAAATTACATACACTTCTGGTTCCATAACCTGAACTTCTATAACTCGAATTTCTCCATAACTCGAACAAAAATTTTGTTCCGTGCCGATAAGAATATGGGAAAGTGCACTCTATAAGTTGAATTTTTGTTTTAAGTATAAATGCATTTTGCTGTTAGGGGAAATCCCTTTTTCCAAACCAAACTTGCCAGTCGCTGGCAGCGTGGTTTAAAGTAAATAAAATAACTTCTCTTAACAATTCGTATATCAAGCTTTCCTACAGATGACGATATTATTGAGCATTATAGCTCTGAATTAGTAGATCCGATTCTAACCGGAACGGAAAGTAATGATGAGGGTTCATCCGCCGAATTGTTCATCAGTCTTCCAAGAATGAAATAGAAGACTTATTCAAAATTCAGAATTTATATTTGCATCGAATGATATTACAACTGATAACATAGTGATATGAATAAAGTGGAATCTCTTTTTACTGAAAATAAGAAAAACATTAAAGTCCCAAGTTTGACTGTATATATATTATATTGTATATAAAATATTTTTTTTAATAATTTGTTATGTATTCTCATCGGTTAGGGACCAGATTGTAATATGAAAAATATTTTAAATTTGCTGTATTTTGCAATATAGGAAACCAATCAAGTATATTTTTGAAATAAACAAGATTTTGTTGTTATTAATTATTTTTATTATTTTATTTTTAATTATTATAGTATTGTATTCGTTATGTTCACGATTAAGTACTTATATGTAAACTCAATACATATATACCTATATACGTATACGTATGATATATATCAACAAAAATTATATATTTATCAGATAAGGGATAGTTAGGTTTTATATTTGTAAATTTTACTAAATTTTTTTTTTTTGGATCCTATCCTACACATTCTATCGTATTTTGGATTCAACAATGTATACGATGCTATGACGTCAATTGTGAAAAGTAATAATATATGAATCAAATCTTATCACAAATACGTTGGTGTCATATGCGTACATCTGATATGCTCCATATAATCAATTTAACACTTTGAAAGTACAAATAGGATTAGTGAAAGGATGAGCGCCTTTTTGAAAGAAGCTATTTAATTTATTTTATACTTAGCTCCTTAACAGAAGAAAAATGTTATATAAAATATGTTTAATAATACAATATAGAAAATAAATGGCAATATTTCCAATTAAAGGATACAAATTGATATCCTTTTGCGACCACCAGAAACGTGCGCAGTTGCGATAAGACAAATTCAATCAATTTAAATTCTATTAAATGGCAGAACTGATTGATTTTTTCATGCCTTTATATTATAAATAAAGTAAAAGTGCATTTAAGTGTAAAAATTAAATAATAAAAAACAACTTAAAAGGATATAAAACCATACATAATGTGGTATGTAAACGGAGAGTATAAAAGCCTTCCTATAGCTCCTGCTTTGGCTTAGTACGAAAGTTGTGGTGCTAAGCAGTAGTTTCACTGAAAAAGTGTTTTAAAAATTAAAAAAAAAAAATTTTATTAAAAATGTAGTACATAAAGTGTAAGGAAAGTTTAAATATTATTTTCAACTCATAAAATTTTCATAATTTTCTCTTCATAGAAAATGGCTGGAGGTTGGTGGAAGTTTAGTGTCGAGAAGTGAGTGGTTGCAGTTAAACTTTTTTAACACTCAAAATGCCGAAGTCAAAAAAACCCTCCATTAGTTAAGATAATGTAAAATTATAATATTTTATTATTAAAAATTCAACAAAATTACTTTCAAATGTTCACTTTTATAATTTGTTAGCATTAAAATCCTTTTCGTTTACGTTGATTAGATCCTTGTAAATTTGACTTCCCTACTAGATGGAAATGTGAATCACAATAAATGCGAATTAGTCTGTAAATTATATAAAAAAGTCATAAACTATGTATACAAAAAAATATATAATACATACATATATTGAAAATTATATATCAAAAATGCGAGAGAACAAAGCATGTCTATGCTTTTTTTTTATATCACATAAAATAATATTAACTATTAAATATTGCAACTTTATAAAAATTGTTGTTTGTTGTCAAAAATTAATTTAAATTTATTACTTACACATATATTTGACACTTTTTAAATATTATCTCTTAATAACTTAATAATCATATATATTGTATTCAAAAAAAAGTAATTATCGTATTCAAAAAAAGTAATGTTTACATAAAGAAATATATAAGCAAAAAGTGTGTATTAATTAAAATTTATTATAAATGGGAAACTATTATAAAATTATAAGTATAAAAATTATAAAAACGTTGCTGTTGTTTGGGATTAAAACTGTAATAATAACCATTTTCTTTTTATTTAATTGAAATGTTTTTAAAAATTTTCTAAATAAAAATTTCACCAAAGAATATTGCAAGAATTACATATTACACATACATTCTTAATACATATTAAAAAATAAATGTTAAAATCATTATAACAATTAAAATAAATTAAATTAAAATATATGTTGAGCAAAGTACATACAAAAATCTCTTTTAATTTAATCATTACCATCATTTAATAATACACTTTAAGTTGAGTCTAGATTTCTTCAACACATATCCTCTTATCACATTTCTTATCCAATTTTAAAATTGGAAACTGAAGCGTTAAGAAAGAAAACCCAACACTTTGAATTATTTCAAACCTTTTCATTCATAAAATATAATATTATTACCATCATTTAGTAATATACCTTGAGGTGAGTTTAGGTTTCTTCAACATATGTTCTCTTAACCCATTTTTTATCCAATTTTAAAATAATAAACTGAAGTGTTAAGAAAGAAAATTCAACATTTTTAATTATTCCAATCCTTTTCATTCATAAAATATAATATCATTATCATCATTTAGTAATACACCTTGAGGTGAGTTTAGGTTTCTTAAACACATGTTTTCTTACCCCATTTCTTTTCCAATTATAAATTATGAAACTGAAGCGTTAAGACAGAAAATTTAACATTTTTAATTATTCCAATCCTTTGCATTCACACACACACACATAAAATATAATATCATTACCATCATTTAGTAATACACCTTGAGGTGAATTTAGGTTTCTTCAACACATGTCCACTTAACCCATTTCTTATCCAATTTTAAAATAGGAAACTGAAGCGTTAAGACAGAAAATTCAACATTTTTAATTATCCAATCCTTTTCATTCATAAAATATAATATCATTACCATCATTTAGTAATACACCTTGAGGTGAGTTTAGATTTCTTCAACACATGTCCTCTTAACCCATTTCTTATCCAATATTAAAATAGGAAACTGAAGCGTTAATAAAGAGAACAGAACACTTTCAATTATTCTAATCCTTTCCATTCATAAAATATAATATAGAAATTCTTGGTAATGCTAAA